GGGGGGTGGGAGGAGCCGAGCAGAGAAGGCAGACGAGACAAAAAAAAACAGGGCTTGCCGGTTCATTAAATTGGCAGGAGGCCAAGCTTTCGTTCTTTCCCCCATGGGCTCCCCCTCAATCTACCCCTCAACCTGTTATAAGGTATTTCGATAATGAGAAAAGATGAACTTCATGCTAGGTTTCTTCTACAACGAGAATGTAATAACACATATTTTTACACAATTAAATAATTTTTCAGGAGTCATTATGAGTTCTATTTATAATATGTTATTGCTATAATATAGATATTATTGTGCTTTAATTATGATAATTTTCTGTTAATTTTATGAATATTTTAGATATGTAAACAAGAAGTACTGTAGTTCTAATAAATTTTCACATGTTGGTACAAGTGGATTTTTTGGGACCATTAGATATATGTTGTACAAATCGATTTCACCCGAATTTTCTAGACATGCTGGATATTTAATGAATATTTTTTCATAATTTTTGAATCCCCCACGAGCCTTCCCTCAATCTGCTCCTCTTAAGTTCAGCTCAAAAAACAAGTTCAGCTCAATCCGCTTGTCAACCTGTTTTAAGGTATTTCGATAACGAGAAAAGATGAACATCATGCTAGCTTTCTTTTACAGTGAGAATATAATACATATTTTGACACAATCAAATAATTTTTCAGGAGTCATTATAAATTTTTCTTTTACAGTGAGAATATAATACATATTTTGACAGTCAAATAATTTTTGAGGAGTCATTATAAATTTAATTTTGTAATTTGTCATTGCTATAATATAGATATCATTGTGCTTTAATTATGATAATTTTCTTCTAATTTTATGAGCAGTTTATATATAAAAACAATAAGTATTGCAATTCTTTATTAAATTGACACGTGTCTTTAAAAGTGAGTTTTTTTGAAATTGTTATATATTCATTTTGCAAATCAATTTCACTTGAGTTTTCTAGACATGTTGGGATATTTTATAAATATTTTTTTAATAATTTTTGGATCCCTTAATATGAAGATATAAAAGAATTTATAAGAATTTTATGCTATAATATAAACAATTCATTTAATTGCATTCATTTCCCCTTTCTCATTCATTTAACAAAGAAGTAAAAATGAAAAACATAAGAAAAACAGAGGAGAGAGAAGCTACGATTTGAAGGTCTTAAAATCTTTTGTTGGTTAGTCTAGTTGGAAAATGTACTTGTTTCAAGGCAAGCAACCATTATCCTACCACTGATTTTTAATGATTTTGTGTATTTTATGTTTTATGAATTTTAATTTGATCAAAACTTACAAAGATCCAATATCATATTTAGCAAACTTCAATCATATAACTTTTTATATAAGATATTGATACGTTATCAAAGAATTATCTTGACAGAGCACGAATCTTGAGGCAAACATCATGTTGGAAACCTCAAAAATTAAATCCGGGATCACATGAACTCCGATTTCAGCAAGCTTATAGTTAAACTGAGTGTCTCGGAAATACGAACCCAACGACACCAAATTCAACTCAATCCGAGTCCAAATGAGTCTGAATCAAAGACTCGAAGTGCTGTTGAAAGGTTCGAATCACAATTTGAGTTACCAAATGGTCTCCGATTTTAACGAACTTATACTCGAATCGAATGGCTCGACGAGACAAATCCAACGAGCCCAAGATCATCAAATTCCAACTTCACTAAGGCCTTCAAATGTCTGATGAATGGTGCACGGTCAAGGGATTCAATATCGGCTGTCCATTCAAACCACTCCCAATTCGCCCCTAATCTCACACCTATTTACGGGCTATGCCACTCCAGAAAAAACTATAAATAGAGCCCTCATTCTTCATAAGGGGGGACCCAATCAAGAATAAAAGAAGAAGAAGAGAAGGGGAAGGAGAATCAGCTCCTCCTCGACCACCGCTGGAGTTCTTCTCGCCGCCCGAACACGCCAGAATTCTGCCGGATATTCGGGAGAACGCAGAAATTCTGCCCGACTTTCACGGGACTCCAGAATTCTGCCCAAGTTCCACGGGATTTTGAAATTCTTCCCTATTAACGACAGAGTTCCCTCCTGATGCTGATACTCCGCTCAAATGATGCCGGAGTTCTCCTCGGCCACCAACAGACCTCATACTTATATCTGACGCCAGACCTTCACTTTTCACCAAGTTTCTACCAGACGCCGGACTTCTACTGGTTATCGGACTTTCGCTGGACGTATATCCAAAGATGGATTTCTTTCCATTGTTGGACTTCTACCTGACGCTATCCTTCTAACCTTCATCGTCAGACACAGTCCTTCCAGCCTCCGTCGCAAGGCAACTGTCCTTTTGACCTCCATCGCTAGCCGACTACGGTCCTCCTGACTTATGTCACCCGCCGACTACGACCCTTCTGACTTAAGTCGCCCACCGACTACATTCTTTCCGACCTCTGTTTCCCGTCGACTACGGTCATCCTTACTTACATCGCCCGCCGACTATGATCCTTCCGACCTCCGTCGTTCGCCGACTACGATCCTCCTAGCTTACGTCGCCCACCGACTACAAGCCTTCCGACCTCCGTCGCCCGCCGACTACGGTCCTTCCGACCAAATGAACATGTCAACAATGACTCTTTGTATTAGCATAATGTAATGTACTCCATAAGATGTACATCAAGCTAAGGCCTTCCCCCAAAGAAGGACCTAATTTGTAATCAACTACAATACTAGTAGATTCATTCTAACTGGGCTAGGCCCCGTGGTTTTTTCCCCCTTTTCAAGGGTTTTTCACGTAAAAACATTGGTGTCTCATGTGAATGCTACACACTATCTCTTATCTGATTGCGTGCCGGGTTTTCGTTCAATGCCAAGATGTTAACTTTATATTTCTTTACCGCCGCGAATACTCCTGGACGCAACAGATATATATAATCCTCTCGAGCATTTTGAAAACAATAAGTATTGCAAATCTTTAGTAAATTGAAAACTATATTTTTCTAAAGTAAATGCATAGTATACAAATTTTGTAGATTTTTCTGCATTTTATGAAATACTGCAGTTCATATATGATATTTAGTCATATTGCATGGAAAAATAAAAAAATAGTATTTGTATGTAAGAAAAAAAAGATTGACTCTTAAACATTATAATTAATATGGGCCGACTCTTAAAATATAATACCATGTGCAAAATGGTTGATCGTCAAACTTTCCTTTAAATAAAAAAATAGTGTAATCATAGTTATAGCCTATAACATATTAACTGAATTTCGCTGACGGGTAGAGGGTGATAATTTTTAAATGATTATTAAAAATCACATGTGAAAATAAATAATTAATAAAAATAAATGAAAGTTAAGATAAAATTGACAAATGGATATATACGATAAATAATAGATGGAATGATGAAAATATCATATTAAAGCTAAAAGTCATGTCCTACTCTTCATAATTATAATTAAGATTTCATTTGTCAAATAATATATTGAATTGATTGATATATAATTAAAATTCTATTGATAGAACATATATTGATATTTATATAACATATCATAATATACTGACATTACTTATTAATTGATTGTCTTTCTTATCAATATTTTATAGTTTGATAAATCTAGTTTTGACTTCACTGATCATGAGTTTTCCAATTGACTGTCATTAGAGTAATTTTTTTCAAAGGTGGGCAATTGCCCATCCTTTTGCCAACCCTCAGCTAGTTGTGGTCCACAATCGAGTGAATCTATTTTGATTAGGTTGGGGTTTCGTTTGGGACCGCTTTTTTTTGCTTCTTAAAGTAGTTTTTTAGTACAAATTTTTTTAATTTTGTACAGTAAGCTGGTTTAAGAAGCAATAAAAAAGTCGTTCCAAATGAAACCTAGATCTCGTTGTTTATCCCTTTTTGAGTTCTTAAGATGAGCAAAAAAAATTATGAGAAAAACTGTGGATAATATTTCGAAACAAATTGCATTAAATGATATTATATATATATTTGATGAATTTATGTTAAAATTCATGTAGAAATTTGATTCTCTGTTAATATATATATTTGCATGAGATTTTTATAAAGTTTAGACTAAATTTTAATTTTTATCTGCATAATTCTAATATACAACAATACAAAATTATGTGCTACTAGTAAAAACATTTTAAAATTACATTATTTAAAATAATGTATATGGGATTTTATTAAAAGCTAACAAATCTTATCCCGGGGGTTGGGCAGTCCATGGGATTCTTAATACAATTTTAGCTTCTTTTGTGTTAGGACAACGTGCAGAATCCAAATTACTTGCACCCTCCTCTTCAATAAAACCGAAGCAGCTAGAGAAGATGAAGGCTATCGCCGGAGACCTCCCGAGGAAAGAAGAGGAAAAGTACGCAAGGCTTGGGATATTGAATTAGGGCACTTTTTTGTTCTTGCTGGTCGAGTTCAGGGTGATGTCGCTGCGTATAAAGGCCGTGGTGGACAAGTTCGTGCAGGAGCTTAAGGAGGCACTGGACGCTGACATCCAGGATCGAGTCATGAAGGAGAGAGAGATGCAGAGCTACATCGAGGAACGCGAGCGCGAGGTAGCCGAGCGCGAGGCTGCCTGGAAAGCCGAGCTCTCACGCCGCGAGGTAATCGATTACATCCAATAACATTTGAATGAACGTTAATGGTGTGAATGTTGCTTTTAATTATCGATGAAGTTTCCGAAATCTGGGGATTGATCTGAATTGCAAAGGGTGAGGCAGTTCGAGCTTCTTGTGTTTGACCTAGATGGATTGAAACAGTGAAATTTGCCTGTGAAATGCAGCCGCCGCCTCTACAGGCTGGGCTTCTCCGAAGTCATCTCTTCCATATCCGCAAGGACCATTACCTCCTCTATTATATGGCTTACTTAACATGGATGTGCTCAACTTTATTCTAGGGAGTTAGTGGAAATTTGATACGGGAGCCATATATGACTACAGAGCTAAGGCCTATCCATTTGATTTGAAGGGGCAAAGAGTTCGACTGCCACCCACCCCACCCCCACTTAGTTTGCCGCAAAATTGAGATGTTATAGCCTTGACTTCTGTTTTTAGATCATGTCTCCTAGTTGCATACAAAGAAGCAACTATGATGTTTCTAGTGGTTATTGAATCGATCCTCACAACTGTGTCTCCATTTATTGCACTTTAAGCTCTAATGCCTAAATCTGTTGATATTAGCCGATAAGTGCTCCCATTAGTGCTACCTCCTTTACGGCCGATCCAACACCAAATCAATTTCACTCTTTGAACATCCTTGCTGAATCTTGAGAATTATAAAATAAGCCCAACGGAACATCAAGCTCACTAGAAGATATAGTGGAGGACTTACTGCAAAAGCAAAACTAATTCGTCATTGTTTAACTATCTGTGCAGTCTTGGCTTTATTGGTTTCGACATAGGCGTATCCACCAAGGAGTGAGCCCACCCTCAAATTTTTTTTTTAATATTTAGAGGCGATAATTTGAAATATTTTGGGTATTTTGCTCCCCCCAAATATTTTTTGCCCTAATTTTATCAATCCTAAGCATTTTTCCCATCCCCGAAAAAAAATTTTTTTTTGCCCACACTAAACGAAGAAGTTGTATCCGCCCCTGTTTCAAATAAGTGTGATGTATGGTGCATGTGTATGGATAGTTGTGCTATTAACAAGTTCTCAATTAAATACCATTTCCAATTCTACATGTTATTATAGATTGGATGGTGCCGTAGTTTTTATCAAATTGAACTTAGGAAGTGGTTACCACCATGATCACATTCGCTTGGGTGAGGAGTTGAAGGCGATGTTCAACATGCGGGGAGTTCTCTATGGATGAAAAGTCATTCCCTTTGATTTGTGCAATGCATATGGTACTTTCATGTGACTTATGAATGTGGTATTGAAACGTGTCCTAAACTCTGTCATTTATTTCAACAATATCCTAGTTTACAGCTCCTTATTCGATCGCCTGTTTCATATGGAGAAATTTTCATCATATTGCATAAAAATAAACTGTTCTTGAACCTGCTAAATGAGAATTCACCAACTCTAGCATACATTTCTGAGGTTTCATCATTAGTAAAGAAGTCGTTTGTGTAGACCCATAAAAAATTTCAGCAATCCAGGAATGTCGACTCCTCAATCCTTCGCTAAGATTTGAAGTGTCCACAGGGTGGTCAAATCCTATTGTTGATTTATTCGTAGGTTCAGTGTGGTAATGGCTCCAATCATGGACAGTCTCAAACTTATAACCTTCTCATGGACGCAACTGTGACACCAAGTGAGACAAATGGTTAACTATAGGTGTTGGCATTGTACAGTCACATGAAGATAGACCCATTGCATTCTTCAGTAAAAAATTTAGTAAAAATTCAACGACTCAAAACATAACTGGATTTTCTGAGAGGAAATTGTATGTGCTTATTTGGTCACTCAAACAATGTGAACATCATCTTCTTCATCGAGATTTTATACTGTATAGTGATCATCATGTGCTGTAGTCTTTAAACTCTTAAAAAAAATTGAAGCAAAATGCATGCTCATGGGTGTTCTTCTTATAGAAATTTACTTTCATTAGCAGATGCATTGAGATGACACTCCAATCTTCTTACTGACTTGCAAACTAGAATTACTTGATTGTAGCTTCTTAATGGCCTCTAATAAAGGCGAGGATTTCGCTGACTCGTGGAATGAATGTGCTAACCATGTTCTTGTTGTTGATTACTGCATACGATTTGGATTCTTTTTAGAAGGAAATCATTTATATATTTCCAAAACATCAATGCATGAGCATTTGATTATAGATTTGCACACTAGAGGCCTGATGGATCTGCTGAGCCTATGGGCCCCACTAGTGCGGGTGACGGGCAAGGAAAGAGGGGGGGGGGAAGGGATGCTCAAAAGGGGATTAATTGCTTACCATAGAAGACCAAAATTAGGAGGGAATTAATAATGTTTATTTAGGGAAATGTGGCTAATTTGATTGAGAGGGAATTAGGAAGTTTCCTAATCAAGAGAGAGTTATTTAGGAAGGTTCTTAATCAAGTGGGAATTGTTTAGAAAAGTTTTAATTACAATTGGGAGGGAATTATTTAGGAAAAAAGATTTAATTTGAATTTAAAATCTTAGAGATAATTATTTAGGAAAAATGATGAGGAATTAAGGGGGAATTGTTTAGTAAAGTTTTAATTACAATTGAGAGGGAATTAATTAGGGAAATAAATCTAATTTGAATTCAAATATGAGAGAGAATTATTTAGGAAAAAGGGACTGGTTTGGGAGGGAATTATGGAGGCTAATAATATTGTATTTTGGGTATTATGTGATTTGTGTTTGGTCTTTTATTGAGAGGCTTTGGGAGAGCCGGATCTTCCTCTCCAATTGAAGATCCAACTATGCCTTGAGTTTTTCTTCTTAGTTCTTTCAATAAAAAAAGAGTTTTTGTGTGTTTTTCCTAAATTTCTTGTGTCGTTATCTGATTTTTCTGAAATTGCAACCACTTCCTATCAAATTGGTATCAAAGTCATATCCTAGAATGAAATATATGTCTTCCTTTCAGCAAATCACAACAGGAAATTCATAGAAAACGGTAGAAATTAACAAGATTTGGATGAAATAGTGGCTAATTTCTATTAATAACTTAACAAGAAATAAAAGATACAAGCGATATGCAATTAGAGAGGCAGATCATCTCTCATAATCAACCTAGATGCCGTTACGAAGCCCTCACAGAATAAACTGCAACAGAAAACTCAAACAAAACCTAAACCTAATACAAAATAGCATCCCCATATATTCTCCCATCTTCCCTCCAAATTTTCCCCTAAAATATCTCTCTTGCATAATTAAATTCCCTCTCTAATTTGAATTCAAAATCCCTTCATTAATTCCTCCCTTAATCCTCCTAACATAATGAATGATTGGCTTACTGGGCCCCACAAGGGTGGACTAAACCCGATGCTGCCTCGCCTCCTGTAGTCAGTTCGTTTTCTTGCTGCAGAGCTGGCTGCAGGGCTAGTTCTGTTGGACTTGCCGTAACAATACTCATATCCCCAAAATTCTCCTTGTCCTCAAGGTGGAAGGTTGGGAACTGTTTCCTAATTTTCTCATATAACTCCCAAGTGACATCATGCTCTGGCAGGTCCTTCCACTTGATTAGCACTTCCTGTGTCCCTATCTCACCCTTACGCACATATGCTATTTCCATAGGTTCTAACACAACCTCTATGTCCTCTGTAAAGGTTGAGGGTAGCGATGATGGTGTATGTTCTCCTATCGTCTTCCTCAGCTGTGATACATGAAAGACTGGGTGCAAAGCTGAGGATGGTGGTAGCTTTGGTCGATAGGCTACAACTTCTATGTGTTCTAAGACCTCATAAGGCCCAAAATATAGTGGGGATAGTTTTTCATTCATTCTCTTTGCTAATGTTTTTTGTCTGTAGGGCCTTAACTGTAAGTAAACCATATCCCTTGGTTTATAATTTACCTCCCTCCTTTGCTCATTCACCTTTCTTTTCATGATCTGTTGGGTTCTTAGTAAATGCCATTTGAGCTCAGATAGTACCCTGTCTCTTTCTTCTAAGTACTAATCTACATTGAACACTGGTGTAGTGCTGCACCCATAAGTAATCAAGTGGGGCGGGTCTCTCCCATATAGAATATGGGGAGTGGTCTTTGTTGATGAGTGATTCGAGGTGTTGTACCAATATTCTACCTAGACCAACTCTTCGATATGTCTGATACAAAGCATCTCAAGTAGGTCTCTACACTCCAGTTAACCACTTCTGTTTGACCATCTGTATGAGGGCGGTAGATTGTACTTCGCTTCAACACCGTTCCCTATAAACGAAATAGCTCCTTTCAGAAGTGGCTAAGGAATAGTTTGTCTCTGTTTGATATAATGAGCCTACAAGGCCATCAGACAATCAAATCTTAGCACTGCATTCAATGCAAGAGAAAAAAATTAATATGTATATTCAGTTAAAATAATAATGATCAGTAACCAATCTATGAAATCAACGTCAACTCCAAGTGGAATTCAACATGATCATGTGGGCTCCGAAAAATTTCATTTTGGGTGTGTTCCCAAGGGAATTTTCAGAAGGCAGATTGGGTTTTAGATAAGACACTACCCAGAGATTTCGCCTTCATTTTGTGAGGACTTTTTGATCTGAGTTCTGGTTTCCTATAGGCGCAAGCCCCTATAGTTAATTACCCCTCCTGATAACAGGAGAGAACTTTCGATTAAGGCTAGTCATCAAAGATGTCGAATAGGTTATAAACCTATCATATAATAGCAATAGTTTAGGGTTTTAAATCTTGAATTTGGATTTGAATTTTGAAATTTGGAATTTGAAGTTTATCACCATGAACTTAAAACTGGTGGTGGGGGGAATGAAGACGAGCCCGATCAAGATCCCATGGTTCCGTCGTCCCGGGCTGTCATGATCCCTGGTCTACTTAGTCAGAGGAGGTAGTCGACCCAACCTGACAGAAGGCATCTTGTTGGCAGCCATGGGTTGCTTCGTCCAAGGGAACCTTGTAGACCTGGGTTGGATGTTGTCTAAGGGGACAAATTTGAATCCACCTTAGCTAACAGAGGGCTTTATGCCTATTGGATATACCC